CGAGCGTGTTGTCCCTGGGCTTCGGCGAGCTGCTCCTCCACCCGCATCAGAGCGCCCGAGCTCCTCGAGGTGCCCCCGCTGGACGGGGGGACGGAGCTTGCTCGCACGCCACCCGCTGCTGCAGCCACCTCACTGAATGTTGGTGCTGGCAGGCGGCTGCTGCTGGCTGCTGAGCTCGCCGCAGCCCCGCTCGGCCCCGCCGCTGCTGCTGCGGCGGAGGCCCGGTCGGCAATCCTGGCCGTGACCCTCCGCTGGCCTGCCTGGGCGATGGCGCCAGGTGCCGGTTGCTGGTCTCGGTTCCATCTGGGGCTCCAGCTGGTCCATTCTTTCGGCGGCTTCAGCGTGGCCCACAGCAGCAACTTCTCGCCGAGGCGCACTGCCTCCTCGTCGTCGAGGGGTGGCCCGTGTGCGCCTGCTGTGTCCTCGTCCTCCGTGTACTCGAAGAGGTACAGCTGGTCCGCGTCGAAGAAGCCCCCGGACAGTGCCTCCGAGACCTTCAGCCTTGCTTTGACTTCTCCAGCCTCGAACGGCCCCCCTTGAGCAGCACCCACTGGTCGCCCTGCTGCGGGACAAAAGCCCGCACTGGGCTTGCTCGTGACGCCTCGTCCTCAGCTTCCCTCGCCTTCTTCTGGCGGCGGTTCTCCTCCTCCTCCTCTTCGGGGCTCTCGTCCCCATCGCCATCGTCGTCACCACCTCCGCCAGATCCGCCCCCTCCACGAGCGGCAGCTTCGCGTGCTTCACGCTTGCGCGCTTTGTTGCGCTTCCAGCCTCCTCGTTTGCCACCTCGCTTGCCGCCCCGCTTCTCGTCGCCACCACACACGATCATGGTCGGCTCGCCGTCGGTCTCCACCTCCAACTCGTCCTCACCTTGGCGTTCGCCCTGAGCTCCCGCCATCCTCCTCCGCCGCGTCTCTCTCCAGGTAGTCGTCCTTTGAACGACTGCCTCCACGGGGGCCCTTTGAGCCCTCGTCAATCTCGACCTCCATTGAGCTTCTCCATTTCGGGTGGGGTAGGCAGCAGGTGATGGCGCTCCTCCTCAGGCTGCCGCACCTCTCGCTATGCTTGCTGATGGTCCCGTCTTCGGTACCTGCGCCCTCCCCCGCACAGGCCGGAGGCCGAAAAGAAGGGGGGGGGTCTTGTTCCAGGGCGTCGGAACGCCCGGCCCGCGCCACCTTGCTTTCCAACCTCTCCTCCAAAGCCCGCGCCTCGGCGTCCATCGCCGCAATCTGCTGTTCCAGCTTCTCGGGGGCGGTGTCGGCAGCCGCTGCCTTCAGCACGGCTGCCCAGGCAGCGCACAGCCGCGGCGCATACTGCCCCGCGTGCTGGTTCCTCCGCATGCCCCGCAGTCCCAGTCCGAAGCCGGCGCTTCCCAGCTCCCCCTTCACCGCAGCGCTGAGCTGGGGGGTGCCGCTGGGGACGCGTCCTCCACCTTCCAGGTTGGGTGGGGCTTGCGTGCTGATGGTGAAGCGGAGCTCGCCCTCGGGGGTCCTCCCGAAGTAGAGGGCCCACTGGTTCTCAGGCAGAGCTGAGTAGTGCCGCTTGGTGCGGAAGTCGATCCTCGCCCAGTGGAAATTGTCCGGTGCGGCCCGCGCGATGAGCTGGTTCACGCGGACCAGCTGGTCGTCCGGGGGCAGCGTGACGGTGACACCGTCCTCGTCGAGGCCGTAGCACCCGCCGGCCTCGCCCAACTTGGTGCTGAGGTTGATCAACTCGCTGGCCTCGGTCTTGCTGAGCCGCATGCGCGCGTCGAGGTTGTAGGCTTCCACCTGGGCGTTCGTCAGATCGTACGGTAAGCTGCCCTCCAACGTGCGATGCGTGTGCTTGCCTGTGCACCTCCTGGCCAGGATCAGGGCATAGGGGTAGAGCCCGAGCGATGCTAACCACCAGGTCCGCTTCTGATACCGATGTTGTGGCTCGTCTGGTGGTGCGAGTCCCCACTCACACATGTCTATGGCGAGGACTCGAGCTCCAGTCGTGTGCATCAGAGCTCGCATGCAGGGGCGATCCCAAAGCTTGGGGTACCGGCCGTCCCGTGCTGACGACTCGATGAGGAACTCCCGTCCTGCCTCGTAGCCCCGCCTCGCCCCTATGCACGCGAACTCCCCGAACACGTTGCCATCGATCTCGATTTGGCGCTCCCCAGTTCCATCTGGGCACTCGAAGGTCCTCGTCCCTCCTGCTGCTAACTGCCAGGGGCAATGGCTCACGCAGGGTGGGGCGAACTGCAGCACGTTGGCCTCGTCGGGACCTGGGGGCGCACTGAACTCTTGGTATAGGCGCTCGCGTACCAGCGGGTCGCGGATGTCGAACTGCGGCCTGGGATCCTTGCCAAGCAGAGGCTGCCCAAAGTATTCGACGGACTCGCTGGCGGCGATGCCCGCGTTCTTCATAGCCTGCGTCCAGCGCCCTGTGCCAGCGAAAATCTCCCGAGTCCTGAGTCCCCACGCGAACGTGGGTCTCGATCGCAAAGGCTCCAGGTCCCCGAAGTCTGGGCAAGCCACCTCGGTGGGGAGCTCGACCACGGCGGGTGCACCGCCGGCGGCTCTCCCACGTTGCTGCCGCTGCGCGGCGAGAGCCCTGCAGTGCTGGCACGGTGGAGGCTTGCTGGCCACCACTGGGCTGCCATCCTCTTCCGAGGCGAGGTACGTCTCCCAGCCCATGGTGGGGAGCTCCTTGAGGTCCTTCCCGCTCGTGGCCCAGGTGCGGATCAACTCGTCTGCCACTCGTCTGCCCTCAGCTCCGGGCGGGGGATGGAGGACGCGCATATGCCCGCGATGGATTATCACGTGGCACTCCTGCTTGGGTTTTCCCGCTGGGAGAACCGCATCAATATCCAGGTGGCCCCAATGATCCGCTCGCCATACTCTGAGTACCACCTCCTCCAAAGCTTCACACGGGAAGGAGGCGACGCACCTGAAGTCCTTGTCGCGGTCGCGATGCACCGCGTCATGGATGTGCATCCGGACCTCGGCTTCCCTGGAGGATATCCAGGGCGGGGCGTCGGCAAGGCCCGCAGCTGCGTCGGTAGCCTTCTCCAGGAGGTCTCTGCGGATCTCAAGGGCTAGGTCCTTGACTTGCTGGGCGTCGGGTGGTGCATCGAGCTGCACCCAGAGCTAGGCTGCCGCCAGGTGGAGTGGGAGGCACTGCCGTTCCTCCGAAACACCGGAGGGCACGTGTAAGCGCTTCGCGACGCACTCGTCGAGGGGCAGCTGGTCCTGGTAGTCGAGGTAGTGCCAAGTCTGGCCTTGCACCGTGACGGAGCCCTGTCCCACCGACTTCTCAGCATTCCACCGCACTGGCCTTATGATGACGTCCGGGTCAGCCCCCAGGTTGCCAGCCTTCGCCCCGAGGCGGTCTAGAAGCTCGCTAGCCTCGGCAGCCAGGGTGGGCCCGCCGCGGCGCGTCGCCTCAAGAAGCACCTGTTCGACTGAGAGCTCCTCCTCGCGCCCGCGGGCGCAGGCAAGACGTGCCAAGACATGCGACCGCATGTAGTCGCTGGCGTGGCTCACGGAGTCGAGCACCCCGCTCTCTTGGACGGCCTCGAGCAGCTTTCGCTGGGCCAAGGCTCCTTCGTCCGTGCAGACACTCGTCCCGACCAGGACTGGGCTGTCGGCGCGCGGGTCCTCCAGCCAGGCAGCGTCGGGCCCCTGGGCGGCCTCGCGAAGCTCCGACTCGACCTCGGTGCACTGAACCTCGGCGTACTCGTCGGGCGGCGCCCAACCTGTCTTGGTAGGTTGGCTTTCCGCTGCCCCCGCGCCTGCAGCCCGTTTGCCGTCTGCCTCGGTCTTAGCTTCGGCTCTCAGCTGTGCGATCCTCCCGTTGACCGAAGCTGGGTCGATCTTGGCGGCGTTACGGAGCCCACCTCGCCTGAGGAGTTGGCACTGCACGGTCCAGTGCACGTCCTTCAGGCCCTTGGTGAGCTCGTGCGAATGCGAGCACCCTGGTCGAGTTGTCCCAGCAGAGCGGCTTGCCCTGCTTGTCGCAGGGCGCGTGCCGGACAGAAAGCTTGATCTCCTGAGCGTTCAGCCGCTTGCCCGCAGGGTATGCGGCTCGTGCGGAGCTGGCTTTCGGCTGGGCCTTGGCCTTGGGCTTCTTCTTGGGGGTGGCTCCTGCTCGTTGTTCCTGTGGCTCCGCAGCTGGTTCGTCTCCTTCTCCTCTGATCTCTCCGGCCTTGCCCGGGGCGCCGCGCACCCCGTGCATTGAGTCGTTGAGGACGGTCTGGAGGTAGCGCTGCTGTCGCGGACGCACGACCTCCTGGTAGTAGCCCGTGGGGGACTCGAGATCGAAGACGTTGGGGAAGACGAACGCCGGGCGTCCGTCCGACCTGGGAGCGAAGGCCACCATCTTGAGATCCTCCTTCCGAGGATTGTCTGTCTGCAACACACGCAGGAGGCCTCGCTTCTTCTCTCGAAGTCGCTCACACCAGGTCGCCCACAGCTCCTCCCACACCTCGTAGACGAACTTGGGCGGGAAGGCGTGGTTGTCCTTCTCGCACTCCCGCGCGAGGGTCTCCAAGCAATCCAGACGCTCTTTGACGTGCTCTCGTCCGAAAACGAGCCCAAAGAACCTGGTCATGTTCTGGGCCTGCCGCTTCCACTGGTCGAAGACCACGGGGGCTCTGGGCCTGGGCTCCAGCTTCGCGTCGTGCGGCGCGCTGTACTTGTCGAACGCGACCGTCTTGCACGTCGGGAAGTCCGCCACGGAGGCCGACCACGGGGCCAAGTTGTCCAAGCGCTGCCGCCGAAGCTGAGCGAGGCACAGGCCATCGCGATCCGGTTGGACACTGTCGTGGGCGTCTCGACGGCGAGCATCAGGGCCTTGTTCTGCTCACAGGTCCGGCGCAGAGCATAGAACAGCTCGCGTCCAAGGACCTCGTCGCAGACCTCCACTGTCAGTTGGCCACGACCGCGTGCCAGGTAGACGTCCAACTCCTCGGCTCTCCCCAGTGCGGCTACTGTCCCTCGCTGGGCTGCCTTGTCACCCTGACGGGCACTGGCGACCCCTTCCAAGGCGTGGAGCATCCTCGCGGTGTTCGCGTCCAGGGTCGCTCCGGAGTGCGAGAGGCCGAATGGGTCGCTGCCCCTGCCTTCCTCCGGGGCTTCTGCAGCGTAGCGCGCTGGAGCTGTGGTCAGACCTGGGGGTAGGCCCAAGTCACTGATGTGCTGGTCGTAGCGGAACAGGGCCCCGATGTTCGGAGCCTGTGGGCGGACGACCGGGGCCAGCCCAGCCGTGGTAGCTGGGAGGCCGGCGCCCCGTGGCCCGAGAGTGAGGGCTGGCGAGGCGGCGGCTGGCGAGAGGGGCGGCCGCGCTTCGAACAGGGGCGCGCTATCGGCCAGGGTGGCCGGCGGCCCCTGCGAGCGGTGGCGCTCGGGCGGGAGTCGGAGGAGCCCCTGAAGGCTACTCGGCGCTGCCTCGGGGGTCTGCGGTCGTGAGGGCACCTGCTGGAGCGCCTCCCAACTGCCGATGTGCCCGTCGAGCCGCGCGAGCTCCTCTGGCTCGGCCGTCTGCTGCTTGAGGTACTGGGCGTAGCGGATGAGGCTAGCGAGCACCTGCTGGGCCTCCTCGTCGAAGCCGGCGGCCACACTCTGCACTGCCGCTGCGTCACTCGACCCGCGGGCCTTCTCCTCCAAGTAGCAGGCCATCATGTCCCCACCATCGTCTCCTTGATGGCTTTCTCCTGATACGGGTGCTTCGGAGCTCGCTGCCCGCCCGCCCTCGGCTGACGGGGAGCGCGAGCCGCGACGCGTGGACCCAGAGGGTGGCTTGGGCGAGCTGCTGCGATCGAGCCGCTGCCAGTGGCTGCGCAGCTTGGCATCCGCCTCCGTAGCTCTCGCTTCGAAGCTCGGGCTAGGCGCCACGCCTCCCTCGGGGTGCCACCTGACTAGGTTGACCACCTTCTCACGGAGCAGCTGCCAGCGAACCTCGCTGAGCGGCCCAGCTCGCCCGCCTACGGGGAGCCCGTGCCACGCCGCCAGCTTGTGCCAGACCTTCTCGGGCACGTTGGTCGCCGAGACGCTGATGCCGAGCTCCTCGCAGCCCAGGGGCGCGTGGTGGAGCATCTCCTCGATGAACCCCGCTGGCAGACGCCCGGAGGGTCCCGAGGACGGTGCACGGATGACGCCGTCAGGCTTCACGAGAAAGCGGATGGTGGTGCCGGTCGGGTCTTCCACCTCGAGGGCCAACGCGCCGTCGAGGTACTCAGCCACTGCGCTGGCCGCGGCGGCGTCAGCCGCCCTTCCTCTGAAAATCATCCACTGCGCTCCTTCTGGCCAATGCGCCTTCGCCCGAACGATGGAGTATCGCCCGAGAGGCAAGGGTGGCGGAGTAGGCGGCTTGGGGAACTCTGGAACCGGCGGCGCTTCGAAGCGCGCGCTCGGTGGCCCAGCCGGCGCGAGGACGGGGTCGCCAGGGCTGGTGGGCGCCTCTGGAGCAGAGGTCGTCGGGGCGGAGCGCTCTGGCGTGCGACTCCGGGCTGGAGCAGCAACTGCGCGCTCCGGCGCGCGGCTCCGCGGAGCAGGGCTCCGCCGAGCTCGGCGCCGCAGACCCGCGAGGAACCCGACTCCCGTGGGGTTGTCGTGGAGCGCCCGGGCGGCGTCGCCTCCAAGGTGCTGCAGGCAGAGTGGGGCCCCTGAAGCCATGCCCACCGCCTCGCGGAAGCACGTCACCTGGGAGCACTTCTCGCCGTAGCGCAGGACCATGTAGATTTGCCTGTGATGCTCGCAAAGGCAGGCCGTTGCACTCCCTTCACTAGGAAGCGGGAGGTCCGAAGCCCGGCCATCCTCCACCAGCAGCACGGTCGGATCGCCGCGCGCGGCGTCTCGACAGCCCTCGGGCGCTAGTGGGCGCATCTTGCCCTTGATCATGAGCCCCACCTTCACCGCCTCGCAGGGGTTGTCCTCGGCGTCTACCTCGGACTCGGACTCCTGGTCAAGCAACCTTGCCACCGACCCCTGCACGCCAGGCTCCGCGTCGCCAGTCCTGCGACGGCGGCGTCGCCGGCGGCAGAGGCACGCCCCGCAACACGAGAGCCACGAGAGGACGTACAGCAGCAGCTTGTAGACGAGGCCCAACCACCTCCAGAGCCAGACGAAAATCCGACAGGGCGTGAACTTCGAATAGTTGCCGAGATCCACGATGGCTTCGTTGTCAAGGGCGGCGTACTCCTTGCAGTGCAGCTCGTTCTCGCGCCCCTTGCACCCGGCACAGCTGGTGGAACGGCACAGGTGAAGCCGGCGCGGATCTCGCTGCTCCAGCTCGCGCCTGAAGCCCTTGTCGCTAGCACCCTTCACAGAGCCATACTCAACCCACAACCCTTGACGATTGATGCGCTCCGGGGACTTCATGCTGAGCTTGAGCCGCGCGACCCGGTAGTCGACCCTGATCATGAGGTCGTTCTGGCCGCGCTTGGAGCCCCTGCCCTCCTTGATGCTCTTGCGGTACCAGTCGGTCGTCGGATCGACACCGACAGCTGGGCCGTGCCACACCACGTCGGCGAGGGGCGGCGCCGCCGGCGGGACCAGCTTATCAAGCTTAGCCACGCCAGGCGTCTTGCGCCTCGGGCAGGGGCAGCACGCCAGCACCAGGCCGCATGTCCAGGCTGCCCAGCTGCAGTGTGCGAAGAGCGTCCTCAGGCTGTGGGCCAGGAGTGCGACCACGCCAGTGTCGGAGAGGATCGCCACGAGCCCGGCGATCAGCGGCCACGCGGAGCCGAACAAGTAGAGGCCCACCTGGTCGGCCATGTACAGCGCCCAGCCGCCGTCGGAGCTCAGCCAACCCCCTGCCTCGCGAGTCGAGAAGGCTGACCTGGCACTCCCCACGGCCCGAATGGTGCCCCCTCCCATCCCCTCGGCGAACCAATGCGCGCGGTTGCCGATGTCCTTCCAGCGGATGCCGAAGAGACCCCAACCCCTGATCCAGGACGATGGGTCCCCGTCGGAGGGGTCGGGGGGGGTGGGTCGGGCCCTGGGGGGGTGGGTCGGCCGGCGGCGCAGAGCGCGCGCGCGGCGGCCCCCCTCCACCGCTCCCTGCTGGAGCGGCATGCCCGCTGGCGGAGTGAACCTCGACCGGCGGCGCGTCCACGTGCGCGGAGGAGTCCATGGGCCCGTCGAGCCAGAACCCCTTCATGTCCACGCTCGCCTCGTCGTCATAGTAGACCTCGGGGGCCGCCTGCCCGCGCGCGAGCTCGGCGCTGGCCACCTCCGCCACCCCCACGAGGATGATGAGTGGAGCTGCGGCCCAACCAAGGCGCCTGCCGGCGAGCGGCGGCGCCGGGGCCCCGGGGCAGCTCCTCCAGGCGGGCCCCAGCGCGCGTGCGCGCTTCGCCGCCCTCGCCTGGTCCTGAGCGGGCGCCGGCGCTGATGTGCGCCCGGCCGCCCGCTCGGCGGCGGCGGGCAGCGGCCGCGTCACGGAGGCCGCCCCTCCGCCCCCGGGTGCTCCGCGGCTAGCGTGAGCCGGCGCCGCTCGGCACCCGGGCTCTCCGCCGCTGCGCAGCTGCGCGCCCTCGGGCAGCAGCGCCGCCGCCCCCCAGCCGCGCGGCGCCAGGCGCGGCCCCATGCGGCCGCGGGCGCCTCCCTTCGGTCCCGGTCCCGGTCCCGAATTAAGGTCTTCCGGCCCCGGTCCCGGGGCCCGGCCATAGGCCACCTGAGGCCGACCCCCAGCTCGGCCTCAAAAGGCTTGAGCCGCCGAATGGCGGTGGGAAAGGAGGGGGAGAGAGGGCAAGCAAGAGGCAAGGGCAGGAGCGAGGGGACCAAGGGAGAAAGCCCGCGCCAGTCCTGGGAACGGGGAGATCCATCAGCTTTACCAAACATCCTAGACCCCCAACCCGATAATTTCTGGCCTGCAACCTACCGGTACCCCCCAACGCGCCCCGGCATCCCCAGGCTTCTGGAACTCTGGTCTTGGGACCCCAGCCCGACAATCTGGCCTGAAACCATTCTGTTCTTGGGACCCCCAACCCGACAATTTCTGGCCGGAAACCTACTGATGCCCCCCATCGCGCCCCGGCATCCCCAGGCTTCTGGAACTCTCTTCTTGGGGCCCCCAACCCGACAATTTGTAGCATGAAACCTACCGATGCCCCCCGCCGCGCCCCAGCGTCGCCAGGCTTCTGGAACTCTTTTCGTGGGATTCCCGACCCAGCCCGACAATTTCTGGCCTGAAACCTACCGATGCCCCCCACCGCGCCCCGGCTTCCCCAGGCTTTGGCCTGAAACCTACCGATGCCCCTCACCGCGCCTCGGCATCCCCAGGCTTCTGGAACTCTGTTCTTGGGATCCCCAACCCGGCAATTATTGATCTGAAAGCTACCGATACCCCCCACCACGCCCCGGCATCCCCAGGCTTCTGGAACTCTGTTCTCGGGGCCCCCAACCCGACAATTTCTGGCCTGAAAGCTACCGATGCTTCCCATTTCGCCCCGGCATCCCCAGGCTTCTGGAACTCTCTTCTTGGGGCCCCCAACCCCCCGCAGCGCCCTGGCACCCCCAAGCTACTGGAACTCTGTTCTTGGGACCCCCAACCTGGCAATTTCTGGCCTGCAGCCTACCGATGCCTCCCACTGCGCCCCGGCATCCCCAGGCTTCTGGAACTCTGTTCTTGGGACTCCCAACCCGACATTCTGGCCTGAAAGCTACTGATACCCCCCGCCGCGCCCCAGTAGCCCCAGGCGTCTGGAACTCTGTTCTTGGGGCCCCCAACCCAAAATTTCTGGCCTGAAACCTACCGATGCTCCCCCACCGCGCCCCAGCATCCCCAGGCTTCTGGAACTCTCTTCTTGGGACCCCCAACCCCCCGCAGCGCCCTGGCACCCCCAAGCTCCTGGAACTCTGTTCTTGGGACCCCCAACCTGGCAATTTCTGGCCTGCAACCTACCGATGCCTCCCACTGCGCCCCGGCATCCCCAGGCTTCTGGAACTCTGTTCTTGGGACTCCCAACCCGACATTCTGGCCTGAAAGCTACTGATACCCCCCGCCGCGCCCCAGTAGCCCCAGGCTTCTGGAACTCTGTTCTTGGGGCCCCCAACCCAAAATTTCTGGCCTGAAACCTACCGATGCTCCCCCACCGCGCCCCAGCATCCCCAGGCTTCTGGAACTCTCTTCTTGGGACCCCCAACCTAGCAATTTCTGGCCTGCAACCTACCGATGCCCCCCACCGCGCCCCAGCACCCCCAAGCTCCTGGAACTCTGTTCTTGGGACCCC